CTGAACACTCAGGGACTTTGTGTGCTGCTTAAATTGTTAAGCTGCAAGCCTGAGACTGAAGAACTCAGCAAGGCAATGCAGGGGCTAAATGTTAGCAGGACTATTGTTGAGGTTAAAAAATATCAGTGGCCTACAGATGTGCAGTAAAAAGAAGTGAACACAATAACTCCTGGCACCCAGTTTCTGAAAGATCAGCAAACCCCGGTGTGCAGCTCCTTGATTGTGGTATAAGACCTGCATGGTATAAGGACTTCTTAGACATAGTTTTTTTTTTTAAATCAACGTTTTAATAAATGTGGAAATGAGAAAGGTTCTAAAACATTCTGCTGGCTTTCCTGCATGCTGAAGTTATTGGGAACACGCCAACCTCTTCCTGATAGTCTGTCCGCAAAGATAATGCAAGACCCGAGGAGGACTGTCCCAGGCAGGAGTTAGTCCAACCATGTAACGCTGGCAGAATGGACAATGTCTTTTTCTTCTGGGCACTTTCACTGCCTTACTGTGTTCACCGTCCCCGTGCCCTCCGCCACCTCCAGCCCCTCAGTTTAAGAATCCACCCGAGTGTGCAACTGCACCACTTGACACCACAACAATTGTAACCCCCTTCTAATGGTTGCACACATCCAATGCTGTGTGTACAAGCACTGTACATCGCCTTGTAAAGATATGGTATAGTATAGAGGTCATTCCCATCGGGGTTTGTGTCTCTGTGGACGTAAGAATACTTCTCAGTCAGGTTTATTCTGAGTTCACTGTGGTTCCCACTTGGTACACGAGCAGCGTTCAGTGCTGAACCATTAGCAGTTATTTAGACAGCAAGGGGAGAACAAAGTGGAGCAGTTCTGTTGGGAATACTGTTCATGGGAGATGTGCAGAGGAGGGTTAAAAACAAACGTAAACGTGAGGCTTAATGGGTTCATGAATTAAGAACGCAGTTGGAAGGAAAATGAGGAGGTGTAGGGATACTACAGGACCAGCATAGGGAAACAGTGTTGTAGAGTGAAGAAACAAATCTATCGGAAATATTTAGTAGTGTTGCCTGCAAGAACGAGCTCCCTGTCTTAGAAAGACTTCACAAATCCTGGCACATTGCTTTAAATGTTCCAGCACACACAGCCGTCAAATATGCGCTTACTGTATGTGCATTTCAAATAAATATGCTTATAATAGAAGCAAAATAAATGCAGGTATATGTTAAGGGACACCTAACGTGTATACGGTACTCCAGATATGTTCATATCTTTGTCTTGGGCTTAGTGTGTTAATTTTCTGTCTGTGTGTTGGTGTTGTGTCTGTGCGCCCTGGTGGTGTGTGGGGTCTGTAGGGAGAGACGTGCTCCC